GTTTTTGATTTCAAACTGGCTATATATCAATATACAGTTCAAAATTTTAATAGCATGACATTTAGAATACCAACTCAATATTCAAATTACTAAATTTATTTAATAAATGAGATTTATGACATATATTAAGGAAAAAACTGACAAAGTGGAAATAGTTTATGTGACACGTTTTGTCCTTTAGGACTTCATCTAACTAAAGTGATGTTTACATTGATATGATTACACATGTGCATGAAGGAGAGGGGGATGTTGAATTTAATTTTTTTTTTTTTTTTTTTTTAATGTATGTTTTGGGTATATAGTTAAGCTGATTTCATTTAGTTGCTTTTTTTCTTGTTCACTTTTGTTATTAAATATCCCACATTATGATAATAAAAGATCTGCCAAGAAAGGTGAAATCTCGTGAGAACCTGGATGTAAATATATTGTGAATGATTGAGTGATTAGATCACTTTCTATACATTTTTGCCTTAGTTTCTTTCTCTTTTAATTAGTGTACCATTTTTTTAAAATCAAAATTATGGTCAGACTCTTTATGGTGAGCAACTAATGCATTTAGTGTATAGTTTTGTAAAAGATCCCTTTTGTGTTCATATAAAGTATAATATGTAATCTGACAGGATGATAAAATAGAACAAATCGGAAATGTATGTCAATCTAACATGTTTCACTTTTATTGAAGCTTTGTCATGAAACATGTTAGATTGATATACATTTCCTAGTTGTTCTTTTATTTTATATATATATATATATATATATATGTCACCACGAAATGTATCTTTAATGTATTAGACATCCGACAACATTCATATTTCCCCCTTCCACTCACCTCTAGTAAAAAAAAAAAAACCTCTCTGTTAAGTTTTAATCTCCCACCTTCTCTTGTATGTTACCCCTCTCTTTAACACTAACATTTATCCCACACTCTCATACTTACACTCTCTCTAAATTCTATTTTTATTTCTGGAGTTGTTCTTTTCTGTTTTCTTTTTGAATTTGTAGGTCTGATGAATTGGATCGTATTTATGATTCCAATGGAATAAATTATAACCATGGAATATTACTGTTTAAGCCTTTTTATTATATATATATATATATATATATATATATATATATATATATATATAGGGCCTGTCTGAAATTCTGGGATCGGGATGATGGAGGTAATATCAATCAGCTAAGGGACAAACTTTATATTTGTATTAATTATATATATATATATATACATACATATATATATATATATATATATGTAAAAGGTATTATTGAGGTTTCTCCTATATGTTCATTATGGCAATTATTAACAAGTGATAGAGTAAATTCCTCCTCCAAGTTTTAGCTTATTGTATTTTGTTTTTTATATTAAGCTTAGATAAATTCCTTTCAATTGTTATGATAGAGTTGGTGGGTAGAATATATTTTGATTTGTTGGGTTTGTCAGGAAGGTTCACTTTTCTATTTTTAAATTATTTATGAGCCTTTTGTTTCATGTTGAATATGAAATAATTAGGGTATTGAAGGAGCTTAACAGTATTTTCAATGTATTTCTCATCATGTAAATATTGAGAGCTACAAATTCTGTATGCTCTTAAATAAAATATGATGATTAGAACATAAACAAAAAGAAACTAAACAAAATCAGCTAGATCATGTATTCAAAACATATTTAAAAAAAAAAATGATCTCTATAGTACTAGAACTCTAATCTTGTATGTATGTATGTATGTATGTATGTATGTATGTGTGTGTGTGTTCCAGAGATATAGCTTAAGTGATACATAATACTCTAACTAATTTAAGAGCATATTATATCTTGAAACCCTGCCAAGTGCAGTGCAAAATTACATTAAAATTAGATTAAGGGGTTCTTGAGCTAGGGACATTTTTATGGCAATTTTAATATGAAATTCTGTAATTTTTTTCAATACTCGTTCTTATATCAATCCACATATATAAAAAAAAACAAAAAACACTTGCATATTCTAACTATTATGTGTGTGAAAAATAATACACATGCATAATACATTATAACAACATTATTAAATAAATTTAAATATGTATAACAAATTTATACAATTCACTGCACTACATTAGAACTTTTTTATAAACAAATATCTCAGATGTCTGGCAACTACTTGATAGGTGAAGATGCTATGTGGGTTTGTCATTGTAAAACGTAATCTGTATGATTAGAAAATTGTCACATGACTTGATAAATTAATAAATACACATTGGTTTGCCACCATTACATAAATTTGAGGAACAAACAAGTATGTTTAATAAAAAAATATAGTCATTATTTTGAAAAAATTACCTAGAAAAAATGAAGCTATGTGTACAAAAGGAAAGCATCTATACTTTGTTATTTTAATAAAATAAATATGAATCTCCCTTAGAAGACCTGTTTTTTGGGATGACTTTCACTTTTGTAAATTATAATATATATACTAAAAATGATATAAATTGGTCACCTCGGGACTGACTTGAATGTAAAGGCTTTTAGTATAATATCAGTTTGCAATTCTGCTCTAAAATAAGTAAACTTTTTACCTATGCTTAAGGGAAATGTCTTCCCTCTTCTGACAAATTGTGTTATTCATGCAATCAATATATGAATTGTTAAAACCATTAAATTTATTTCAATGATATATTAATGTGTTGAAAGTTTTGTTTTTTTCTTCTATGTATCAAAAATTCTGAAAAATCATTTATTTATTATTACATTTATTCTAAGTTATATTGTATAATGTGAGTATTAATAACTTGTATTGCAAATACAAATTAAAATATGTGAAATTTATAATAAAACTGATAATATTGTTCCTTCATCATTTTGTATTGTGAACTGCTTTTAAAAGGAAACTAATGGATTTATGGGTTGTCTAATTTGAATTTAAAATTGTCAATGTACCTCTCCTTTATGCATTTATGTAGTTGCATCAATATAAACATCACTTTAGTCTGAAGTCCTAAAAGATGAAATATCACATAAAACCTTTTTCTACTTTATCATAGTTTTTTTTTCCCTAAAATTCTTCTTAATATATATAAAAATTAAATAATATTTTTCCATATATATATATATATATATATATATATATATATATATATATATATATAATATAAAGATCAAATGCAGATTGTAATCTGACAGGATGATAAAATAGAAGAAATTGAAATGTATATCAATCTAACATGTTTCACTTTTATTGAAGCTTTGTCATGAAACATGTTAAATTGATATACATTTCCTATTTGTTCTTTTATTTTATCATATATATAAAATAGGCAGCATATATTTTATATTACAAAGATATGATTAACTATTTGTAATATATATAGGGCCTGTCTATGAAATTCTGGAATCAGGATACTGGGGACAAACTTTATATTTGTATTATTATATATATATATATATATATATATATATATATATAATGTAAAAGGTTTGTCACTTAGCTGATTGGTGTCACCATCAGTATCCTGACCCCAGTGTTTCATAGATGGACCCTCTGGGAATTACACCATCCATTTGTTGGGGTATAAGTGACTAGTCAATTCCTTATGATTGTTTTTATTTTATTTTTTTTTTTTTTTTAACTAAGTATTTTACAAGTTTGGCTGTGTAATTATCTATGAAGAAGGGCTTTAAACTGATATAAGATGTGTGCAGCTATTTAACAGAAACATCTGAACATAATGAGTCATTGGTTAAGAAAATGTGCAACAAAAGAAATGAAACAAAGGTTTTATCCCTGAAGAATATGAAGTGTGAGTATTCTATTAGTTTATACTATGACCTGTTACTAACTAGTTTTCTAATTGCTCTGTTAAATAGCTGTATCTTGGTAATTATTTTGTGTTCATCTGTTTTCTCATGTTAGTATTGTTCTAATTTAATTTTATTGTATGTGCTTGTATTTATAATAAAAATCCCACCACCTTTACCTAAGGAGTTGATGTAAATTTCCTTATTTTTATCTTGGTTTCAAGGAAATTTACATCACCTTGAATAAATTAAGTGGAATTGTTATGAATAGAAGCATATACAAATAAAATTAAATTACTACTCAACATTACTAACACATGAGAAAATAGATTATTTACACTATTTATATTGTTTGGACTGGTGTCCTCATTTTCATTGACATATTCACAATATTTCAGATGCTTTACATTCCAGCGTTCTTCAGGTAATTGGAATTTTAAACTGAAACCTTTATTTTGTCCACCAGAGTAGATTGTTCTAGTTCCATGTTCCGTGCCTCTACCAGATATCTCAGTACTAGTTATTTCCCTTTAACTCAACTCAAGTTTTGTTCACCTCTGCTGTAGCAAGGCATTGAACTTGCAGCTCAAGTCACTGGATTCAACCATCACTTTTATTCATTCTGCTATGTATCCTTGAGGACAATAAGAGAAAATAGATGAACACAAAATAATTACAGAGACACATAAATTTAACAGAGTAATTAGAAATGTAGTAATAAGAACAAGTCATGGTATAAACCAGTGTTTCTCAAGATTGTATTTTATGTGGAATAAATAATTCCAATGTACCTATGTTGTGGGTGGTAGATCACCTACAAACAGATATCAAATGACAGAAGACAACAAACAAAGTAAAGACTTGAGTAAAAATAAATATTGCCAAGTTTATTTTTGTTAAAGAAAAATACATAAACAAAAATAATGTTAGTATGAATTAGGCCAGCCTGATGTAGGGGGTGAGAAATAGCAGTGTCCTGAGAAGGATGGGTTCTGCCGTGGTGTGTTGGCCTAAACGGCTTCTCATAAAGTACAGTAGCTGGGACAGGGTTCTGTTACCCCCACTGATGTAGGTGAAAAGTTTGCAGAGTGACTCTTCGTCAGAGTGTCCAGTCCTCTTGATAATTACACTTCTCAAGTGTATGTATGGCTTCGATTCTGGGACATTTTGAAGTATGTATATTACTTCATCAACTACGTTTGATGGCAGGGCTTGCACCATGTTGGCAAACCTAGAACTTTGGGAAGTGATTCTCTGGATGGTGAATATTGCTTCAAGCTGCAGAAAACAATTTCTGGGGTTGACTTCATTGTATAAAGATAGCTGGAGTAGGGGTGTTGATGTATTGACTGACATTTTGGTTGTATCTACGTTTGAAATTGTAGTGGATACACTGTCTTGTTTTATGTCAAATAGTCACTTATTGTTATGTCATTGGCATTGTAGGTCACCACTTTGTTGCGGGGGGTATATTGGCCTGCAAACAGATATAGAATGACAGAAATCAACAAACAAAATGAAGACTTGAATAAAAACATTACCTAGTCTATTTTTGTTTAAAAAAAATGCATAAACAGAAATAATGTTGGTATGAATTAGGCAAACCTCATGTAGAGGGTGAGAAATAGCATTGTCTTGAGAAGGACAGTTTTGTGGCCATTAGAGAATGGATATCCTGAGAAGGACAGTTTCATGGTTTCTAGAGAATGTTGTCCTGAAAAGAACAGTTTATTGCATATCATTGGCAAGGATGGCTGGAGAGATGGCCAATGGCAAGCTAGAGATGATGATGGTAGGCTAGCTGGAGGTGCTGGTGATAGCTGGAACTGATACTACACTTTGATCTTATTCATCTGGGCTGCAGAACATGTTTTATTTAAATAATATATTATTTTGCATTATTTTTTGGCACAATCAGCTAATCAGTGCTATTTTTTGAGGCCTCTTTATATCCTGAACCAGTCTTACAACACTGGTTAAACTTTTTCTTCCATTTGTTTTTAAAAAATCTGGGTGAGCCAACAGGATACGACACATATATACTCTTCTGCATGTTTTTGAAAATGCATTTTCCAGTATTATAGAATATTGAAAATAATGTGTGTATTTTTAATTTTGCAAATTAGGGATTAGGGAATACTTAGGTTACTATTTACTTAAGATGTTGGCTCTCACACAACCCACCAGAGGGTCATGATGGTATCTCTGCATGACCCTCTGGTGAGTAGTTTTCCAATTTTTTCCTATGCAGATTATTGGAAATGGGGTGCTATGATTGATTACTTATGAGATCATGGCACATGAGAACCACATTTTTTTCCCTCCAAAAAATGAAATACTTTTTATTTTTTTGTCTCTTATTTCATTTTTCTTTTGAAATTTCTACTTTTGTTTTTTGGGGTCATTTTTTTTTTTATTTTTACATACACAGAGTTGTACCATGCACTCAGGTAAACTAAAAGACTGAGTAAACAGAAAATTTAATTGGCAAAATATTATGAAATTAAAAAAGAAGTTGTGGTGAACAATCACATAGAAGCAAGCAAGTCAGAGTGGCTTGTATCTGGTGCAAAGAAAAATAAGTTCCTTACCTCAACACACGACATGTAGTATCGGCATTTTGTTTCTTGAAAATGGCATTAATCTCCCCTTTTCATGTTTGATGGTTTCAACAGTATGTGCTGTAACGGTGGATTTTGTACAGCTTAGTATGGTTCAACCAATAGCAAGTTGTGTACTAATTGGTCAGACTGGAGGAGGCTGTTTGTCTGCGTAACTGAGAACAAAAGCGAAGAACACTAATTGGTTAGTCAGCTGTGGTGTTGGCATGATAAAAGAGGGCTGAAGCAATGAGAAGGCAGAATTGTTTTTTTGCATAGGTGAAGTGTGCAGAACTCAAACGGCAGATTGAACACAAGGTATTATGGATTGTATGATTGACGTCTGAGGAACAGAGACTCATTTAACTACAAAAGTATACTTTATTTACTTAGGAAACCAAAATAATGCCTACAACCAGTAAGAGAAGCACAAGAATTCTGATCTAATAGAAATCACATTCCTAATAAATAAAAAAAATATTGCTAATGTCTTATTTCTTGAAAAGATTTAAAAGAAAAAATATAAATAGATATATTGTTACACTAATAGAAAAAGTTAAATTGATTCTTATTTTATACTAGCAGTAGAGCCCGGCATTGCCCGGGGATGTAACAGTAAGAAATAAATCAAATATCGACCATCATAAAGACTGAAAAATAAAATTGACAAAGATTATTGTTTAAGGTTGACGGACACGCATGTCTTAATTAGTTTTTTGGGGGTTTTTTTTTACGAATTGGTCAAACCCAAACTCAAACAAAAACATTGTTTTCAATCGTTATGAGTCTACCGATTGAATAGAATTTTATTATAAACAATTGTCTTGTAAATTGAATTTTTAAAGCATTCTAAATGTAAAAATAAAGAAAAAAGTGTGCAAGACAATAAGAAACACTACCTGCAACAAAAAAAAGTGAAGTTTTGTTGAAATCGGTTGAAAAATGTAGGAAATCCGATCACATATATAAACGAACACACACACAAACAACCTAGGTTTTATAATAAGTATAACTCGATATGAGTTGTCCCCCCTTTCATTCAGCAATGCCTCTTAATCGTGTTTTCAAATTGATTTCGTGCAAAAACAATTGTGTTTTTCCAATTTTTGGCGCTGTCAGAACCACCGCAAAGTAATTTTACGTAGTCCTGTGAAGTTTTGTTGAAATCAGTTGAAAAATGTAGGAAATCCAATCCAATATATAAACATATAGACACACACACACACACACAACCTGGGTTTTATAATAAGTAAGATGTCTTTTATTGAAATACTTAAGGCAAAGGGGAGGATTACCTTCACATTCAGCACAAAATATATTCATTTTTTTAGTTTTTTTATCAGTTTTCTTTGCACTCATTGTTTTTCCTCATTTCACTACAACAGGATTTAAAATATAATGTTGGGACAACAAGGGAAATAAGGCTTGGGAGCCAATGTGTTAAAAAGCATCAGGTATTTCAATATAGTTGCTGAAAGATTTTTATTACTTAAAAATTAATATATATGTTCCACCCAAGTTTCACAGTTCAGATCTTATGAATGAGATTTAGTCTCTAGCTTTATGAAATCATAAGTTTTTATTATAATTTTTATAAGAATAAAAAAAATCATAAATTACTCTTCTATTAACTTCAGACACACCTGGCTACCTTTCAGAGTGCATTAGTTAGCATTGGTATTATAAAATACACAAACTTTATGATCTACCTAAAACCTACAAAGCAGGCATTCTGATGCACTTTTGAGGAATACAAATTGGCTTAGAGTAAATGTAGACATTGTAAAGAAATTTCTTGTAGGATTTAAATTGTGATTCAGTTTCCAATGGACATGAAGCAGCTGAGAACCATCTTGACATCTTCAGACATGCTTCCTCAACATCTAAAATTTGGTGCCATTGGGATGTAATTCTCAAATCTCTCCAACAGTCAAGGAATTTGGAACATGTATAAAGATATACCTCATAATGGACTATTCCATTTTGATCACATGGAAAAAATGGAAAAGACATATCATAGACTCTCAGTGAGAAAATGAAGGAAGGAAATCAAAAAAGAAACACCTTGCCAATATCTTGTTGGGATTGTTATGAGTTTGAATTTGGTATCAGAAGGTTTTTATATTAAGATGTTTAGTTTACAGGCATGTTCACCATATTAATCCACAACAATATAGAATATAGACATTCAAAAATGAATCAATCACAAGGCAAGTGAGTAAGAAACACCGATTATGAGATTTCAATAAAACAACATGCATTTATGTACAATTAATATACAATTTGAAAACTTGTAGCTTGATAATGCAAGAAATTGACCATTGATAAATTGGGTTTCTTATTGATTTACAGTTCAAAATTGTTCAAGTGTTTAAGAACTGGTCAAACAGAGTAAAATGGAAAATATTATTTATACAGAAATTTGTGTAGTTTGTATGTGTGAATAAAGTAGGGTTTAATTGTCTAAATTTTCCAGAGTTGTTTACCTTGGACTGTTCTGTGTTTGTCTTTTGTTAAAATACAATTTCTATTTCTTTTTTAGTAATGTGTAAGAACACTTTACTTAGAAAGTTGTAAGTGAGATGTGAGAGATTATGTTGATGTTTGAGTCAGCAGTTGACGCGCGAAAAGTATCTTAAGTCAAAACACGTGGATTTGTGTGGCATCTCTCTGAAGTTTATTGACTGACTGGTGAATTGGGTCAAGATGGTCCTTTTTATTTGATTCTGGAAACCAAAATAGTCTTCAGCAAACTGAGTGCAAAAACAATTTTTTGACAATTGTTACATGTCTCAACCAATAGAAAGTCGAGATTTACAATGCGAGGTGTTGGTTAAAACTGATTCTGATGGAAGAGTGTATTTTATCTTGGAGGTGAGTATGTAATATGGACGATTCTATAATCTCATAAATAATGGACTATTCTGTTTTGATCGTATGGAATATATTTAGAGATTTTTCATAAAATCCAAAGAATCAGCAATGTCATTTGGTCCAGATCTGGCATTTTGACTTCAGTCACTTTTTCCAGCCATAATGAGGCTTCCCTGTGCCATTTCTAAAAATACTGTTCTTATGAACTTTCCTTGATGGTACTTAGACTTTATGAATTTAATTGCAGTAATAGATTAGTGCCAAGCTTTCATCATTTTACAGTTGAAATGATTAGAATTAACTAAGTTCTATGCTAATAGTTTTTTCTCTCAAACTTCTTGTTTGTGCAACTCTCTTCCGGCTTCTTGCTTTCTAGTCAACTTTGATTTAAAAAAATTAAATGTAAGGTCAGTTGTTATCTTAATTCTTGTTCTATTGTTCTCTGTCCTCAATCATGTTTTCTTCATATTTTCTCACACCTTGAGTCTTTGCAGTTTTATTGTCTTCTTTGGGGTGAAATGATTAAAAAAAGCAAACATGGTTGCAAAGAAGAATATTCAAAGAATTTTATTCCCAAAATTTGGCTGCAAAAAGTTTCATATTTTAATTCTTACATTTGAAGAACTCCAGATCATTTTCACCATCAAACATAAAGAATGAGATTTATTAAATGCATAAATTAAATAAAAGCACCAACTTAAAATTCACATCACTTTTTCTACCATACAGTGGCATACCTTGTAGCCTTCTCTGGGTGGCAACTTTTGTGAAGCACTATTTAGTTGAATGAATAAAAAGAAATATCACATTATTGTAATGAAGTACATGTTGTCCAGTTTTGGAATGTTGTTTAGAGGGGTGGCGAAATCTGTGATCACCCAAGGCAGTACAAATATTAGATATGCTGATGATCATATATATATATAGAATTATATTTCTACAATAAAACATTGTTTTCTTGAAGAACTGTATTTCTCACTGATAAAGTTTGTTGAAATTGATT